GCACCCTCACGTTCCATATGAGCATGTGCTCGGGGAGGCGCCCGCGGCGGTGGCTGTGCCTCAGCTTGCTTAGTTCTCAGTCAAGTCGCCTTGTGGCCCTTGTCAAGGCCCATGGCCATAGGGCGGCACAGAGCCCTGCTGCTGCTCCTCACTGGCTCCCGCAGCCGGAGGTTTAAAACTTTCTTCTGGCCAGGTCTGTGGATGGGACACCTAGCTGGCTCAGTAGGTAGAGTGTGCGACTCTTAGTTTCAGGGTGGTGAGTTCAAGCCCCACGTTGGGTGTAGAGATTACTTAAAAAACTAAAATCTTAAAAAAACAAAGCAAAAACCTTTTATGGGGTCAGAATTACCAAATCCAGGATTTTAGGTCACACTGAGAAAAGCCTTCTTCGCTTGAGGATTAAAAAAAAAAAAAATTCCTCTCTCTTTTTTCCCCCAGAACCTTTCCAGTTTCATTTTTTTACACTTATGTTTTTGTTCCGTCTTGAATTTTCGTGTAAAGGAATGAGGTAGAAATCCTGCTTCGTGTTTTTCCAGTGCTGGAGCATACAAAAAAGTGAACCTGTCTTCCTAACGGCCTCTGACACCATTGGGGTAAGAGTCAGACACACGAAGGTTGGCACCCAGCACGATCTGTGTGTGTTAGCACGAAATTGGATGTGTTCAGGTGCAGGTGCTTCTGTGACAGTAAGATCTACAGCAGGGGCTCAAGGCTGGTGCAAGTTACTGAGGAAGTGTGGGAACTGAGACATGAGCTTGGCCTTGAATGACCTTTAAAATTTGGATAGAGCAAAGGACAGTGTTTGGGGCTAGAAACAGAAGTGTGGCTACAGCAAGATGGTCAGCGAGAGTGAACTAATGACTACTACTGCTTAACAAGTCCTTGATACGGGTTAGACTTTGATCTGAACCTTATCTTTACGTGCATTAATGTGCGTGGTTTTCACAGTGATCATATGAGGTAGGTACTGTTTTGGTTTTGGCCATTTTACAGAAAAGGAAACTGGCAGAGCAGCCAGTCAAATGAAGTATCTGAGGTTTCAGGTTAATTATGTAGTAGGACTGGGATTTGAACCAAGGGAGGATGACTCTGGAGATTTGAGAGAATCCCAGCCTAGCTGAAGTGAACATTCCTGACAGTGCAAGCCAGGGTTGGACGATCAACCAGGGGGATTTGCTTTCTGGTGAAGAAGACAGCATTGAAGAGGTCTGGCCTCCTCTGGCTGTGTTCATCAGTATCACTTATTACTTATATCTCGTAAAATGACATACTGCAGAAATTACACTCTTCATAGTGGAGTCGATATTTGCTTTCTCGGGGAACCTGGGTGGCCCGGTCGGTTGAGCATCCGACTTTGGCTCGGGTCATGATCTCCGGGTTTGTGGGTTCAAGCCCCACATCAGGCTCTCTGCTGTCAGTACAGAGCCCGCTTCGGATCCTCTGTCCTCCTCTCTCTTCTGCCCCTCCCCTGCTTACGCTCATGAGCACTCTCTCGCACGCTCTCTCTCTCTCTCTCAAAAATAAATAAACGTTTATAAAAAAAATTTTGCTTTCTCTGTGAGAATGTATTTCCATTGCTTTCCTTGTTGATTTGCAATTTAATAAACATAACAAAATTTTTATCCTAAAAACAGAGAAACCCATTCAGATAGGTTTTAATAAAAATGCAAGTAAAAACATTTTTTTTAGCACCATGCCTAGAACTAAGTAAATGCTTAGTAGATGCATAGTAAGTGTGTTGTTTTTTTTCCCCTTTTTGGACTCCCAAGTCCTACCCTTCTGAAAGTCTGCAGTGGCTTGGGCTTTAAAATAGATATGATTTATGAAATGTTCTTGTCAGTAAAGATTTCAAGTACTTGATGCACTTGAAACCACAGCAGCAATTTATTCTTGATTCACGTTGATAAGTAATGGTCCTGCCTAATAGTAGCCAACACTTTGAATTTTTGTGCATTCAGAACATTTCATAAATTTTATTACATAGTTCAATTATGTATTTTTACATAGTTGTATTTTACATAGTATTTTACATGTAAAATACATGTATTTTACATAGTTCAATTATGTAATTATCCTGTTTCAGTGAGAAAAACTAAAAAGACCAGTATGGGTTTTTTGTTATTTTTTTTTAATTGTGAGCTTGAATGGGAAAATTGTGAGTTTTTATGGGAGGGGCTGACCTATTTTCTTTAAAAAAATTATTTTTAATGTTTATTTATTTTTGAGAGAGAGAGAGAGCACAAGCCGGGGATGGACAGAGAAAGAGGGAGACACAGAATCCAAAGCAGGCTCCAGGCTCTGAGCTGGCAGCACAAAGCCCAATGCGGGGCTCGAACTCACGAACTACAAGATCTGAGCTGAAGTCAGATGCTTAACCGACTGAGCCACCCAGGCACCTCTGGACCTGTTTTCTTTCTAGCTTGACTTTTATGTAATATCTGTCCATTTGGGGCCTATCTTTGCTTATACGTCCAGGTGAGGTATTGATGTCAGGGGATTGAGACCCGCTCAGGATTCATCTTGAATTAGGACTCAAACTGTCACGATTCCTGTTGTATGTCACAAGACTATTTTAAGAAGTTAGAAGAAGAGCAAGAAATTAGACCGAAAGAAAGGAGAAAAAAAGGGATTAATGTAGGTAAAAATTGTATTTAATGAGTTAGAACACAGCAAAAAGAGCTAATAAATAAAATCTACAAGCCAATTGGTAAAGAAAAACAGAGAAGGTCCTAATACACAATGTGAGAAATAGTTACCCTACAGATACATTAAGACGCATGTGAAATGACACATGTAAAAAGTTATTTGTTGTGATATTGTTTTTAGTAGGAAAGAATTGGAAACAACCAAACTATCAAGAGGGTTCTAGTTAAATGAATAATGGAACTCTAAATTGTGGGAGATTGTGCAGCTGTGTAAAAACTGTGCAGTTGTAAAAAAGAAAAATTACGTATAAAAATTGTATATTGCTTACATATATTATATAATATATATTATACATGTATTACATAATAGGAGCACCTTATGTATATATTCTGGAGAATCTTGACGATATTGTTAAAAACAAGGTATTTAGTAGTATGTATACTATGCTATCCATTTGTGTGGAAAAGGAAATTAAGATTTATATATTTATGTTGATCTGAATATACATTTACAAATCTCTGGAGAGGCAAACAGAAAACTAATAGGAACAGATGCTTGGGAGGAACGTGAACTGGGCAGATGGGGTACCATGAGAGGCTCCTTTCCATGGCCATTTTATTGAGTGAGTTTATTACCTAGTTGAACAGTTAGGTAAAATTGTATTTGAAAGAGCTTATTTAACAGATTAAATGTTTTTGAGGAATCATTTTGGGGAAGGAAAAAATGAGTTGGTTCTATTTAATTCAGCAATACTTAACAATTCTGTACAAAAGGCAAGGCATAGTTGGGAATAAAGAGATCATATAGGATTATAGCCTTCCAGTCACTGAAGATACAGTCATGCAGGCAGGCAGACACAAGTGTAATACAACTAAATACAGCAGAAATCCAGAAGCAGCCCAGTGGATGAGCAGGGAAGGGAATGTGGGAAGACCTTGCAAAGGAGGCATGGCTTGAAGCTGACATGGAGGGACATACAGGACTTTGACAGCTGGTGATGGGGGAAGCAGTGGGCAAATAGGGATAAAGAGGACATCTTTTGGATGGAGGGAGATGTGCATGCAAAATCTGGGGGCTGGAGAGCGTATGCGTGGTTTGCTTGCTAACGGAGTAGCGTGGCCATTTCTGTGCAGTGGGTGTGAAGGCTGGGTTTACTTGTACAGGGACGGTCTTGTATTTGGATGTATGTCTGAATATGATCTTTTTTTTTTCATGGGTGATTGCAAACATACACAAAAGTAGGCAAGATAGAATAATGCAGCATGTGGAGCGCCTGGGTGGCACAGTCGGTTGAGCGTCCGACTTCAGCCAGGTCACGATCTCGCGGCCCGGGAGTTCGAGCCCCGCGTCGGGCTCTGGGCTGATGGCTCAGAGCCTGGAGCCTGTTTCCCATTCTGTGTCTCCCTCTCTCTCTGCCCCTCCCCCGTTCATGCTCTGTCTCTCTCTGTCCCGAAAATAAATAAACGTTGAAAAAAAAAAAAAAAAAAAAGAATGATGCAGCATGTGAACTTCAGTTACCAACTCTACCCACTCTACCCTCCAGCTCTCGCCATATTTTGGAACAGATCCCAGATAACATTTCTTCTGCAAGTGTTTCAGTATCTAGCTCTAAAAGATAGGGACTTTCTCTCTTTCTTTTTTACCAGTTGGAGTGCAGATTTCCTGTCGCTTCATAGGTGACAAGTAGTTAATTTTAATAGTTTTTGTTTGTTTAAATCAATGAATAAGGTTCACAGGTTGCAATTGATTGATGTGTCTTTTAAGTCTCTTAAGTTTTCTCTCCATTTTGTCCCTCCCTTGTCATTTATTTGTTGAAAGAATACAATTGTTTGTCACAGAGCATTTCCTCCTGTCAAGGTTTTACAGATCACATCCCTGTGGCCTTCATCCGTGCATTCGTCTGTTGTCTGTGTTTCCAGTAAAATGATAATTGAATCTAGGGGCTTGGCCAGATCCAGGGTAGTTCGTGTTTGTTTTGGTTGGCCAGATTTTGTTTTACTTTATAGGCGGTATTATCGTTTCCTGTCAGGGATTTGATTGTCTCTCTTTTTCTGATTTTAACAGCCACCACTGATCATGTTTCCATTTTAGTCATCCTTTACAGAGTAAAAAGAACAAACCAGTACACATCTTGGTTTCCATGACATCTCTAGTCTTTCACTTCGTATCCCTTATGAAGAAAGATCCTGTGCAGTAGAGAATTTTTAAATATAAATATAAGAGTCACTGGTTTCAAGTGACCTTTCAAAACTGGTGTCAAGAAGTTGCAAGATGTTTTCTTGGATGAAAACTAAATGTATCTCTTTTTAATGGATTTTCACAGCCTTGATTATTTGTGTTTTGTACTTCACTAGATTGTTCTTCCAGTGCGTTAGAAGTAAGGCAGCAGGGAAGCAGTGGTGCGGAAGTATCCCATGGCAGGTAGGAATTATTCCTGTCTTCAGACCTGCTTCGTTAAGACTGTTTAATCTGCAGTGTTGCCTGAAAAGACTTTGAAGTCCGGTATAAACTGGTTTGTCTTCATCATACTGTCCCTGAAAGATCTTTTCTTTAAGCAGCGTGGGCCATGTCAGGTCTTTTAATTCAAAGGACTATTTGGTTATAGTGAAGATTTAATGATTTGCCTCCTATTTCACTTAAATATTTTCCGAGGTTTTAATTGTAGTCACTGTTTTCTCTAGGGAAAATTTTGGATTCACCTGACTAACTTCAGCATCTTTTTATGGACTGCTGACTCCTTGATGTTGGTATAAATGGGGTGTAATTCATAAGCTCCTGGCACATGAGAGACTCACAGATGCCTGGTGCCTGAGGGGCTAGGCCAGGGAGGCAGCCACACTTTCATTGGTGGAGGTGTAGCTTGAACTTGTAACCCTAGACTAGCACAATGAAACCTTCCTAAAGCCAGACTCAAAGCAAGCTGAGGGTATTGTGTAGGTTTGGGGATAGGTTCATCCAAGAGAATAGTTTTTCATGAGAGGTATACAGTGTGGCTATTACAATTGCAGAAGCACTTGATTTGGTCACTGCTTGTCCTTGAAGCCTGGGAAAGCAGTGGTCATGATCAGAGAAGGAACCGAGTGTTGGAAGTTCTGTTCAGAAACTAATACTCTCTGAGTTAGGCACATGGTCTTTCCTAGAGGCAGAAATGGTCCCAGGAATGTTCAGAAATACTGGACTACTGTTTCCATTTCCTCTGGGGGGGGGGGGGGGGA